AGAAAAAGCATGACAATGATACCTGGAAACAGTAGAGAATAAAAACAATCAGAATTCCTCTGTTCTAAGTCCATTACAAACCACAGAACCACACAGAAGCCGAAAAGTCAGTGCTGGCTAGTACCTCTGCCTGCATGCCAGGAGTGCAGACTGCAGTTGTGGACAGAATTTTAGAGTACACAAATAAAACATTAAAGCCATGTAAAAATGATTTTTAAAATAGGCAGAATTACCCCACAAATGCCAAATGAGAAATGATTACTAAATGAGACACCATGAACACTACTCATGTGGACCCACCCAATTACAACTACTGAACCACTAATTGTTTTGAGAAATGCATTAACTGTTGTGCAAATGTAAATAGTGATGTGAGAAATGCACCAAAGCGACTGAGAAAAACCGCAAAAGCCAGTTTTTACTTATAGTCTTTAAATGCATCATCAATAATAATCCTATGACAATATGAAAGGGGCCATTCTTCAATTTCAAGTAACTTTTTTTTGATACTGTAAACTGATAATGCAAGTTGTATAATTAAACAACAATGAATGCGTGAATCTTACTTAGTTTTACATGGTTGTAATTTTACTTTATAGATAGACAGACAGACAGACAGACAGATAGATAAAGCAGCTCAGCAGATTAAAGGGGAGGAGTTTCGCTGCGCACTTTGGCTGACAGGGGATCAGTTAGGATGGCAGTGCACTGGGCATCTCCGCTCGTACTCAAGTTGTAGATGAAAGCTGGACCCGGGTAAAAGAAGAAAGTGACACCGATCAGCAACTTTCTTAAAAGTCATGCGCCCGTTGATGTGCCTGCTGTCTGCGCTGGTTGTATGCGGGGATGGGAAAGCGACCGGAGAGTTCACTCCGACCGGACACCCTCTGCATATCAATGACGGGTACTTTGCAAACCGGGATCGCATGAAACAAGAGCCCTTTCAGCACCAACAACAAGTGCCCGATGCCTTGTCAGGTTTGTAAAGGCTTCACTGTATGCCCACAGGGTTTAAACTTTAGTAAAACTTCAAACCTGTCAGAGTTAAAGTTGTGTGCTTGATATGTTGGGTTAAAGATGATAATAAATGACATTAGAGCTGGAGAATGAGGTTGGATATTGGTATTTTGGCCTCTTATTTTTTTTATTCTGCTCTATCAACCATTATATTGCAGGTCTTTATGTAACAGATTAGAGATGTCCTCATTTTCAGTCGGAATGGACCATCTGTATCAGGATTTGCGAGCAAATCTACTGATCTGTTCATGAGTAACAAGTGGTGTGGGAGCTTGCTGCTGTCACCTCATGAGTAACGGTTTCTCCATCTGTCCCCTTTTACTGCATCACCATTACCAAGGCAGCAGTTCTTTAAAAAAAATATAATAATATAATAATAATATATTAATTTCAAAGTGACTTGGGAGTTGGCCAACATGTTCTTAGAAGCTAAAAAAGAAAATGTGTTTAACATATTGTACATGCACTTCTTTCTGTCTGCCTCACACAGCCATATGCACACTTGCTGGCATTCTTCTTGTTTACAGCCGAGCAGCGAAGGACAGCTGAAAGAGGGATTTGTGGCCCTGTTCACTTATCAACTGCTTCATGACTAATTCATGCTGCTGTAGGAGTACATGACCATCCGTCATCACATGATCCTCCAGTCTGTGTTTGTCGACTGAAACGCTTGGAAATGTACCCAAGCATGCTGTTGTCTCGAGTACCATCCCCAACCCCCCCCCGATGGCATGTGTAGTTTCCTGCCAAACCTCCTCCTCTTAGCCTTCCTGTCCCTTCAGTACAGAGAGAGGAGACTCTCCGGGGAGTGATCGTCCTTTCCACTCTTAAAAATACAACTTAGAGAAACAAATGTACAAAAAAAACCCCCACCTCCTCTCTGGAACCAGATGCTCAGTTCTCCCATGCTGAGATTAACATCTCCATTGTTGTCCCTTCATAAAGGGCAAAGCAAGAGATTTGAAGATTTTAATCATCTGGCCCAGGGGAGGATTGTAATTATTAGACAACAGGACTGGCGGTTGTTAGGACATGCCACCCCCCAACAGCTCCACCCTGCACGTCTCACTTCAATTTGATATTGCTGACTCGTGCTTGAGGCTGACTTGGCCCACATATCAAAGGAAGCGCTTGTGTTTGTCTCCATCCGTGGAATGCATGGCCTAATTCCAACACACAAACAACGAGCATGTCTGTGGGGCTGGTGGGGGGTCACCAGAGATAAGTCCCTGTAGGACCATCTGTTTGTACTGCCTGGTGGTCTCAAAGAACTGACCAGTCAACATGTTTCTGCTCCTCCCCCGTGGATCCTGATTTTGGTGAAATGATAATAATGTAACGCTGTTGACATGTCAGGAACATCCCATTTACATGCTCTTAGCCACAAGCATGGTGTTTTTAATAATTATAACTTGTCATTCTGATATTTGCTATCATCATTTTCTGGGGCAAGTAGCTTTTTAATTATGTGGTATGAATGGAAATGTATTTTAAAAAGCTCACATTTCGATAAAGAAAGGGTGCTTCACTTAAGTGGAAATGCAGTCTTTTTTTTGGACATCAGCTCTATCATGTGCTCGATAATAACAGTACTGAGCCGCATCACACACACAACATGGGATCTCTTTCTCATCTGCCTTAGTAGCCTCAGACAGCCCATTTCAATCCACTTCATAAACCCCTTTGTGGCGTGGTTCAGTTGGCCAAATGGGGAGATTATAGTAATCTGGCACGGAACACCTCCACTTCAGATGTAGTGACCCCCTTCTGTTATGTTTGGCCACTAAGGCAGAACACGCAGAAAGTGGAGGCTGCCTCTCCCCAAAACAAGCATCCTCATGTCCATCTGCGCTGGTGTGTGTGTGTCTCAGTGGGTTCACACTAACGCTGCCAAATGTAGTTTGTTTCATATTGTGGCTGAAAATGCAGTCACTCCTGGCAGCTCCAGGCATTTGTCTGCTTCTGATCAAAGGGAATGGTTCAGGGCAACAATATGGGATGATCTGGTTATCCAGTTTTGGCACATGCTGAAATATTGTGAAATCTGGTAGCACAAGGCATGGCTTCATCAGTTTTTAGCAAAGCTTTGGCAGATCGTTTAGCAGCAGGATTATGAGCAATCAGCCTGGCAGCAAATGGGGCAGCAAATTCAACCATTGCTGCCGTCCGTGTCAAATTGTCACCGTAAGAGAGAGATCCTGACGACATTAGAAGAAGAAGAAGAAGAAGATATACTTTATTGATCCCCTAGGGGGAAATTGTTTTTTTCCCTCTTTTTTTTTTTATACACACAGG